TGTGGAGGATGACATAGATGAAAGTAAGAAAGAGAAAACACTTTTTCCAAGTTGAGTTTGAAAAGCAAGCCAAGCTGGCAATGAAGAAGAAAAACATGGCATTGGCAAATGAAGCCCACCACGCCACTAGACAATTGGGGAATTATTATTTTGCTTTAAGAAACCAAACTTGTGGTGGTTATTTGAGGATTTCTATAGTCCTTTAAAAGTGGGTCGGTGGATATGCAAATCTTTATAGGCCAGTGGGTATTTGTATAATCTCTCAAGTCTCCTCTCTAACCCTCTTTTTAACTACTTGTATATTCTTTTGTGCAAATTACATTTTGATACCATTAAAGTTTAGAAATGACTTATATTTAGCCCCTCCTAAACTATCAACTGAAATAATCAAGTCACTAAACTTTGAGACGTGCTTTAATTAAGTCTCGACATCCAAATCCAATCACAACTGTAACATGAAGACACCGCGTGAAGGCACATACCCTGGTCATACCATAATTTTGACTCTGTATATACACGTGAAACTTAAATAAAAAAGAGGCAAACCATATGATAAAAAGGCTCAAATTTTGTAAAAGATAAACCAACACATGCGATTTCTCAAGTTACCCTACCCTAGCGAAAGCCAGCTCAAAGGCATTCTCGCCAATCATTATCTATCTTTTCTAAGGACTTCTAGGATCAATAAATTTTTTAGATCTTATTAACCAAAGATATACCGCACAAAAATCTAAAGATCTGGGCACTATTTTGCAAAGAGGTTAGGTCAAATAAACATATTTGTGAAGATGCGAACTACTTGCACCTAACCCTAAGACTATGCGATTTAGTATATTGAAGGATAGTTTTCCAAGTTTCTCTTGAGCTAGGCTAAAAGAGAGGTACAAAACAAGAGAAAATACTCGAGGCTTCTTTAAAATAGAAATAGTGGTCCATTATCCCTATCTTGATCATGATTTTCCTACTCCAGGGGAAAGGTCCTTCCCTTTTGGAATGCTATAAGATTTTTAGTCATAATTGGGGCATTTGACGCTTTCGTTTTAGGGTTGCTAAAGGATTCTGATAAATGGACTTAATTGAAACACGACTTAAAGTTTAAAAACTTAATTATGTTAGTTGGTGAGGGGCCAAAGAGAAATTACATACAAACTTTAAAAAATGTAAATTATAACCTTTCCCTTTTCTTTAATCTCTCTACTTGATTCTTAATAACCCGAAGATCACGGCAAATCTCTTTGTCAAAAGGTCACAACCAAATTGCCTAATCTTCCACCGCCCAAACACGTCTTGTACTCGTAATTAGTGATTTGTTAAGCAAAGTAAGTGATTTGAGGACCACTTGTTCTTGTCAAAGAGGGAATCTTTCTAGTTTAGCACATTAAAGTATTATTAAGTTGTTGATAGAAACTGGGAAAATTCCATTTTGTCCCTTCAAATATACAAAAATTCTTAGTTTATCTCTCGAATAATTAATTTTGTCATATTGTCCTCAAAGAAATACGAATGTTATAATGTGGTCCACCGTCTTATTTTGTATTTGGCTGCTTGTTTGTTTTATGCAAAATCAACTAATCAGAAATCACAAAACAGACGGATGACCAAATGAAAATTAGATAGTGGACTACATTAAAATGTTTTTATTTCTTTGAGGGAGCAATGTGAAAAAATTAATCATTTAGGGGACAAACTAAAATTTTTTGTATCTTTCAAGGTACAAAATAAAATTTACTCAAACTTTTGATCATTGAGAGAGATGGGGCAAACAAGTCCTTAATTATATGTTTCATGTTTCAATCATTTTATATTAAATACCACCCATAGTGCAGCAATCTTTACCAAGTTTGTTTGTCCACCACAGGTTTTGTCACATAAAAAGGTAACAAACAAGTGGATGAAAAGAGAAAACACCATTGATTCCTCTTGTTTATATTTTTGTGCAAGTGGGTTGATTTGGGTTTATTGAACTTCCAAGATTTTTACATGTAAACATGGTTGCTAATCATAATATGGTTCCACTTGCATGAAAATTAATAGTTTGACAAGTTTGGAGGATAGGTATGGTGGGAGTTTAAAATCAACACAAGTTTGGCTAACATATTACGCGTTTGGTGTTGAAAATTGGTTATCCAATAGAAAATGTTCAAGATCAGTAAAAGCAAGATTCGATTTATGAAAGTAATGAAATATTGATGTGATGTCGATCTAAGACTTTGCAACGCACAAATTAGACTCTGCAACACAATTGATAGGACGGAAACCAAACATTAACTCTAATATGTTTTCGTGTACTCTCTTGTGGGCTTAATATGAATGATTTTTTTTCACTTCCTTCGATTATATAACCAATTCTTTTAGAGTTTTTGTGCTGTATTTGGTTGAGCTACATGGACAGAATCCCTATATTTATGAGCATAAGGGAGACTTCTAATTAGAGAATGGCCATGGAGAAAAGGAATTCAAATAGATCAAATGCAACTGAATAAAACTTGTTTCGAATACAAAATATTGAATAGAAATTCGATATTTGAAATGTAGATGAAATGCACATGTGAGGCATATAATGATTTTAAATGGATTCTTTGATAGTGGGCTCATGTAGGCCCATGTGCTGATGTGGGGGAAGCGAGGTGGATGTGCATTTTCACTTGGGTACCAATGAGTTGGTTAGAGCAACATTATTTAACAGATAAAAAATATAATTCTAAGTTCAACATTTTTCATACTTTTTAAGGGTCATCATCCTTGTTTTTGAAGAGATATTCTAAACTCACTCGGATTACGATAATCAGTATTCGAACTTGAAAGAATAGTTGACGTAAGCTAGAACATCCTGTAAAAAAAAAAAAAGCATAAGTCTTAATCAAATGAATATTATTCATAGAGTTTCCAAATATGTTTCTTAATGTATAACGGCCCCATGTATAGACTTGGGTCTCTCGGATGAAATTCAATGAAATTTAGGTGGAATGATAAGCTCTTGATTACAACATAGGTTTTGGATATGCATCTTCTCCAAATTAGGTTTATTAGTCTAGTCGACATCTTGAACTTTGAATTTTGAGATATTAATCATTGATTTTTTCCCACAAAAGATCATGTGTTGGTCAATTTGCTTAGGTTAATAAACAAATCTCAAATTTGAGTTAAAGATGTAAGTGATTGGAAAATCCCTATTTTAACAATGTGCTCAAAAGTTAACTTTGTGGCAAAAGCTCAATTTAAAGAAACACCCCCTTAGCATTTTTATAAGTTCATGCATTAACACTATTAATAGGTATGTTAATCAAGTCAAACTCAAGTGTCGATATTAAATTCTTGCTCGAACTCACTATAACTTGCGAACATTTAAGAAGAAAAATGATATACTATCTAAATCCCAAAGTTAATAATCAATTTCTCAACAAGAAACTCTTAATTTTATTTAGTTCTCAAAATTTTAGTGAAAAAAAAGGAGAAAGAGGAATCTCTATATATCATCTCGAGTTACTTGAGTTTGTGGATAAATTTGGAGTACTTCATCAATTAAATAGTCAGGTAAAAAAAATATCAATTGAATAGAAATCATTTAACGGTAAAAACGTTGTTTCTAGACAAAAATCTATATGGGCATGATTGGATGGTTTTGAGGTGAGAGATCTAACCCTTCCAATCCCAATTCCCACCGTTGGGTACATAAAATTCATATATAAATCCTATCCGTACCCTTGTTTGATAAGTAATATACACACTTGTGTGACTCATTTGTTTTTTTTGATCAAATTTGTGTGACTCATTGATTTATCATAATTACCAACACACATTTATTTTTTAAATAACTATATTATCCATTGGTCAATCTAATTCATAACTATATTTATTAATTACAAAGAGGAACAATTGGGAGAGTTGGGATGCGATTTGATAGATAAAATATTTTATTAAAAATAAAAGAATCATTTAATGTAATTAACCTAGACTAAAATATATAAAACCCCCCATCTCCGAGTTTGCTCAACACCATGTATATGAGTTTAATATACCAGATCACTTACGGGCTATGCTAACCAAACACAAAATTATAGGATTTATTAAACTATTTTTCTTAAACCCCTCATTCTAATCTCGATAAACAAATAGATCTTATGAGTCAAGTCGAACATATTCGAGCTTATTCACACTTTGATCTACTTCGTCTCTTTTGCAAATTGTGTTTGAAAGATTTTTTTATCAAATTTTATCTATTTTGCTATTTGAATGACTTAAGAAATTAAAATAAATGAATCTAAATCTAAATTTGAATCCGAATCAATTAAATAATTACCTGGCTCGTTTGGTAACGTTTATTATTTTTGATTTTCTAAAAAATGAAAAACAGAATCAAAAAACAAAAAACGTCTTTTTCTCGTTTTTGAAAATCTCTCCTTATTTACAAAACGATGACAGAAAAAAAAAAAAAAACGATTATCAAACGAGTTTTTTTTTTCTTATTTTCTCTAAATATTAAAATAAAAAAAAAAAGAAAAATATAAATATTACCAAACGAGGCCTAAAAATTTAGTTTAATTTCATACGGACCCACCACACATGGCCTTTGAACATGGTGAAGTCTCCAATTCTTTAGGCCCTTTTTTCACAAAAAAAAATATACCCCTTATAAGTACCCCACCTTTCCCCACCCAAATAGAACATATGGCAATGAAGCCTTCACAAACGCCACCACTACAAACACTAATCAATTACATTTCACGCAACCCAAAAGCCTGAGACTGTCTGTCCATCCCTCCTCCTACCCACGTAACCCCCCTCTGTACGTTACGTCCTTTCCGGCCACTCACCCATCTATCTTTCTCTCTCTGCCCACTCTATGTATATCTATATATCTCAACCAATCCATCTTCCCATATCTGTATAACTCTCTCCCACCCACTATACTTGCACAAATCCAATAAAAACCCATTTCGGTACACATCTAATTCTTGCTATAAAGTCACAGATTTCCTCCAATAAAGATTATTGAGAAGATGGGGTTAGAGAACAATCTGACCGACGTGTCATCGGAGTCGATCCCAATCATGGTTGTGGCTCTCATAGGCACTTACGTAGGTTATCTTCGGACCCTTCTTTTCACTCTCTTTCAGATTTTGGGTCTCTCTCGATTGGATCCAGAGGGCATCGATGAGGGTCTTTTTGATGCTGTGGGCTCCGGTCTGGCCGGTCTGATTGTTCTATCGGAGCAGCTGAACTTGAACCGGGTTTTTTCTTACAGGTTTGGGGGTGAAGATGATAGGACCGGTTCGGATTGCGTGGTGTGTTTGAACCAGCTGGGTGAAGGTGACCATGTGCGCAAGTTAGCGTGCAGGCATGTGTTTCATAAGAAGTGTCTCGATGGGTGGCTTGACCAGCTCAAGTTTAGTTGTCCTCTTTGTCGGTCGTCGTTGGTTTCTGAAGAGTGCGTGTCCTTCACGCAAAAGCGCGTGAGTGATGATGTCCTTACGTGGTTCTCTATGCGGTGATGTACATATGCTGATATTACATGTATGTCATGGGTTATGATGATGATGATGATGATCATGATGCATGGTGAACGGTGGTGATGATGGGTGGGTGAGTTATGACTTTTCTTTTTCTTTTATTTCAAATTTTCATTTTAATTTTAATTTTTTGGGTTGATGGGTGGACTGCAGTTTTGGACCTGTGACTTATTTTGTAATTTTTTTGGGAATTTTTTTTTTTTTTTTTTGAAGAGCTCTGTGGAGGGTTCTTTTGCACTGCTGTAAATTTTTTTTTTCTTTGACTGCATAGTGATTAATAAGGAAGAGTTTCTTAATGTAGTACTTTGAAATATTGGATGAATAATGTTTTTTTATTGTATGGATAGATGGGGTTGTTTTTGTAATTAAATTGCTATTTGGCAATTGAATGAGAATGGACCTTGCGAAGTGATTATGATGGATCTGGTGACAGTAACATTGAGCGGTTAGTTCAATGAATAAAAATTTTAACTTTTTTTTGGTTAATGTTTTTGGTTTGAATCTCCACAATTACCATAATTTGATGGAATTACATCTACCCTCTAACACTCAAACCATACAATGAGACTTTGATTTTAGTCCCGAAGAAAGTATGGTAGAATTTCATGCAGATAGTTATGTATCTTAGGTATCTTGGGTGTATTTTGGTTTAACGGTCAAAGATGTTCGAATTAATTTACGCATATTGTAACTAATTTTCTCTCTAGTTCAGTTAAAATTTAGTTATTAATGTTGAGATTTAGATATTTATGAGAGATAAATTTTTTTGACCATTGAACGTCTCCGTCATGACTCATTCTTACTATTACTTGACTTATCCCTTGAAGTTCTGACGTAGGTTTACCATCTGCTCTTTGATATTTTTGTTTTTCAAAAAATTGAGTGGTTTAATTTTAAGGTTAAATTTTGTGGCTTAATTCTATGACTCTTTTTAAAACTGTTTCTTTGAAGGGTGTTACATTATTTGCTCTATAAAATTTGATCTGAAAATATAAGGTTAAATATCATAATTGACCTCTAAACTTTGCCCCCGATTTTAATTTTATCCTTGATTTTTTAATTGCTCTAATTTAGTCTTTTAATTATCAATTTTGTCTCAATTAAGTCATTTCATCAATTTTTACCGTTAGATTAACCAAAAACTAGCCCAATTCGATCCATTGCAGCGTTGATTTAACGGTGAAAATAGATGGAATGACTTAATTGTGATAAAAATTGATAGTTGAGGGACTAAAATGAAATAATTAAAAGTTTAAGAATTAAATTGAACAGGGACCAACTATGAAATTTACCCAAAATATAAAAAAGATTAAAAAAAATCTTTTATTTTCCAAAAACATGATTCCCCCTCATTTTTGTGATTATGAATATTCTACTTCTATGAAAATTACACTAAACTACTATTATTGGGTGGTTAAACTTAGAGATTTTAAGAAAATTACTCTAAACGACTATTATTAAGTGTTACAATTAGAGAAAAGAGTAGGAATAACACATTCCTCTTTATTGGTTAGGGAAGAAGCATTGTACAAGTTTTTACGAGGCTTTTTGGTTTACTTTGCAAAATATTACTTTTGTTGAGGAATTTCTATTTCAAGGTTCGATGGAGCCCAACTAATTCAGATGGTTGTCTCCTCTGTCCCTTAAGCTAAGATTATTTAGAGATGTATTTTGTTTTGTTTTTTGTTACAAAATTTTGACATACAAAAAGTTTAGAAATATTTTTTAAAAACCTGATTGTTGAGTTTTCCTTAACTTCTTTTGTAAATGAAAAGAGAATGAGAATTGAAACACAGGGATAAAACAATAGAGCAAGCATAAGGAGTATATCTTGAAATGTAGATATAGTTCTCTGTCTAGTCGAACCAATTTTTAAACCGTCTCCTGAAAAGTACTTGCATATCTTGCATGTGTTTTTGGAGCTTCCCACTCACCTCCCTCTCGTCTCGTTCATTCACTTGCTTGTGATTGCAAAGTGAGTCAGTTTGCTACTTTCAGTTCAAGCAGAGCTAGCTGCCTACTTCACGAGTCACCACAGTTTCACCTACGACACATGTATATAGATAATAAATAGTGCCCAAGATCATTCTTTCGTTGTAGCTCCTTGAACCTTCTAAGCTTCATTCCGTGGTCAATGCTACCAACCTTTTCTTCAGTAAAGAGTTTTTTCATTATAATTTCGTATTGAATCAACGACGACCTATACCTATACTTCAACTAAAAGACACAGGGAAATCAAAGATTCAAAAGCAAATAACAGAGAAAATGCATTTTGACAGTTTGAACTTTGAAGATCGAATCTTTACTTTGTCTGAAACAACATATCACAAAGAAATTATGCAGCTACCTTAGTAATGGCGATACAAAGGTATGGGGAATAAGCTGGGTGGTTGACTGTTCATATGGGGCCTTGCATTTGCTGGGTAATTGGACTTGTCCCAATGTAACACTATTTGTTGATATTTTGCCTGTGCCAAAGCCATTGATTATTGATACGTATTTAGTCTAGCAAGGTGGTTCTTCATTCACATAGGTTCCCAAAGCCCATGCTACTCAGGTTGTAGAGTAATGTAGTGATGCTTTCGAATACTAGACTTTTCATCATGTAGAGTGCAACAATCCACCAGTTCACTAAGCGACACGATATTTGTATAAAGCGCCAACAATCTCTTTTTACAAAATTGTGTAAATAAAATATTTATTTCTGTTAAGTTTTTCATTTCTTGATTAAGTACTGTATGGATTATTTATAATTAAATAATTTCGTATTGAATCTTGGTTAGGATGTAGATCAATTTAAGGTGATCTATAAATGGTGATTTTCCTTGAAAAATCGTGGTCTTATTCTATATTACGATATAATGGATCGTACAAAAATAAAATAGCTAAGAATTGGGGGTCAATTCTATTTAGAAAATTATAAGGCTTTAAGTCCATGACTTCAATTTATTTGTTGTTAAGTCCCACTTATATCTTTTTAGTAAGTCGTTTAGTCTATAATTTTTTTTTTTTTACAGAAAAGCCCTTATTATAGGCGTCGGATTCTGTGCTCTTCAAATTGGTGACTTATGTGAGGAAAGAGGGAGTTCAAGGATAGTTTGGACATTTGAATAAAAAAGACTTAAAATCAAGATAAGTATTTCCCCATAAGTCTTAAAATATGGACCGGTCCCCAAATTTAACCTAAAATAGTTGGAAATGGTGGAATCTAATATGATACAACATGAACTGATTAGACAATTGGAACTTGGGCCTGAAAGAGAGGCTGAAGTAAACTTTGGATCGTAAGCCTTGGGCTAGGGCTCATAGAGCTCAGAAAGCCGGGCTCTGGCTAACCCATTAAACTTTGATAGATGGGCAATGCTAAGTTGAATGGACTTGATACCAATCTTTTGCAAAAGAGATTGTGTTGCACAACTTGGGTTTTCTAATGAGTTTTTTTTTGAGGCTGGTACTTGGGCCCAATAAGATTCTACTAAAAACCCACTCGCAAATTTATTTTTTGATTAGATCTCGCTTAAAAAGTCAAAGCAATGACCATAACCAACGTCCTTTAAAATTACAAAAAATAACTGCAATGCCAACATTTAATCAAAAATCTACGTGATCATAATACATCTTCTTCTCCAAAAATACAAATTATCAGGCAAGTACACTAAAAATGTGACATGTTCTCGATTGACGTACCCATTAGTCGGAGGTGTGAAGGTACATTAAGTTACATTAATTAATAACGATTGCATTCAATGTATCTCTACAATAGATACATTGAGATGAGATATGTGGACAAATATCTCTTTGATTAACTACGAAATTAACATCATAATAAACATACATTTAAAACTCATCATCTACCCCATGAAAAATATTTCTATAAATAATGTATCTAAACTTCAGAATAAAAACACAGAAAAAAAATTGAACAAGCAAGGTAGCAAATAACACAACAAAATACAGATGCTTTCAGATTTCCTGGACAATGCCTATGCAAAATAAGAACGCATGCAAACTGATATTGATTGACTGGAATCCGAATCGTACATGTCAAAGAAACAAAGAGACGAATGGAAGAAAATGGCCAAGTTCTTCAACAAAAATCTACAACAAAAGAAGAATAAAAGCCAAAAAAGTTTGAGGCTGAGTTGAAGGACATAAAAAAATGATATTTTTTTGTGTTTTTTAAAAATATATAATAAATGAACCACATATGTAATCTCCTATTTATGAATGAAATATAATATTTAGTTTTTAATGTGTGTACCTATAATAATTTAATTTTGTATACCTAAAATAATACGTGTAGAGTCATGTCTTGAATGTGTACTTGTACAGTTGCCGAGACATAGTGCGTTAATCAGAGGCAGTGTTTTAAACTCACTCCATTTGAAAATTTTAAAAATATGTGCGTAAATTAAGGAATTTTTATCCAAAATCATAATCCATTAGTATTCAAAAAACAAAAAACACCAAAAAAACTCCCTCACCCTTCCTCCCATTCAACACCAAAGATATTGTGTATATTGAAATCCCCTAGTCATATAAGTAACATCTCAAAATCTCGTCGCAAATAGATACATCGTGAATGTACCTATGCATGAGCGCAATCAGCTATGTCTTCCATTCGATCTTTTGTGAACTGAAATTAGGGTTTCATGCAATAAAGTTCAATTCATATCTAGTGCAGACATCTTGTTTGGGTCTTTGTTTTTGTAATGTACTTGTTATATTAATGTATCTGCATATAAATTCCCCTCCGATTTATTGTGTCTATACTATATACTTGAACTATCAATTTATGTACCTACTAAGTCTATGCTTAGGATGCACTACCAGTATATTCTAAATTGTTTAGTTCAGAAATTTGAAATTCAAAACTGATATACAAATATCACAAAATCCTTAATAAAAAACGCATAAAAAATAAATAAATTATAATATAAGTTGAAATCATGTGATGAGCACAATATAGGTAACCAAAGCACATTAACTATCTAACCGCCCTACGTTAGCACTCAACCAAGGACTGCATACAACTATTTTAAAATGTTGGAGGACTTTTTTCTATATTGAAAATTTGGTAGGATTAAAATTAATTTACATATCAAAGGAGGAACTCTAACCTAATTATTTATTTTATAATTGAAAATGGGATATTGAAGGCATCTTCCTTGAAGGAGACACTTGGTTGAATTATGTGATAGACCGATTTTGTAGGAAGCTAACACCACATTTGGATGATAGTAATTTTAATTGGAAATGGATATCTCATTATCTCATTCCCGGTAATGAAATAGCCAAGTTTCACTTACTGTAGTAGTCTCATTTAGTGTTTTGGTTGTTATCCGTAATCTAGTGTGAGAATTAATGTCATTATAAAATTGTTTGAAGAAAAAACTTAATTTTAGAAAGGAGATTGATTTTAGGAGGAGAACTTAATTTTTGAAATGAAATTAATTTTAGCAAGGAGCTTCATTTAAGGATTTATATTCCTTTTATAGAAGAAAAATTCTAAATAGATTTAAAAAATTAACTTAGAACTTGATTTGATAAATCACTACTAATGATAGGTAGTATGTCTCAATAAATACTGAGATCTACAGATAAATTCATCATCAAGTCAGATTTTAAATCTACGTAACATTGCTCTTTATAGAATATCCAATTAATATAGACATGAGATTACCACTATTGACTATGAGTTTAACATGCCCACCATTATTACTCAATCCAATGTAAACAAGTGGGCCGAGAATGAAGATTCGGACTAATGATTTTTGATCCATGATTGAAAAACCTTGTATTTGGAATAAAAAATAAAAATAAAAGGATATTCACCATTATTGAGAATTAAATAACAATAGTGATCTTATTTTTGAGTTAGATTATCAAATAATTGACTATCCAAATATAACAATTTAAAATTTAAGAATGAGAATCCCATTTCCAATTAAAATTACTGATATCCAAACAGTACCTAACTGCTTTCAATGTCGTGAATGAGTTGATATGATTAGTCCATCAATTAAAAATATGCTGTTCATGCAGTATTGTGAGTCTATGCAGCCTTGTTGGACCTGGCCCTGAATTAGACCAACTTGAATTGATATTTATGGGACGCGTTGCGATATGACTAGGTTTCTTGATCTTACATAGTAAATAGTCTAGTATGAAGAAAAATTTATAAAGAAAGTGTATTAGAATAAATCTCGATCCAGGATCACGCGGTGCGCTCCTTTCGTCCAACGCTTTTGGTCAAAAAATAAAATAAGATATTGATGAACATGAGTGGACACCAATTACTTGATTCTTTGAAACTTAAACTTCATTCTTATGAAAAATCAATGCCATTGTTAACATAAAATAATTCTCAAATCTGAGATGGGTTTGATTTTTCCAGTCTGAACAACGCAATCCAAACCCCCCCCCCCCCCCTGCTTTCAATGTCGTGAATGAGTTGATATGATTAGTCCATCAATTAAAAATATGTTGTTCATGCAGTATTGTGAGTCTATGCAGCCTTGTTGGACCTGGCCCTGAATTAGACCAACTTGAATTGATGTTTATGGGACGCGTTGCGATATGACTAGGTTTCTTGATCTTACATAGTAAATATTCTAGTATTAAGAAAAATTTATAAAGAAAGTGTATTAGAATAAATCTCGATCCAGGATCACGCGGTGCGCTCCTTTCGTCCAACGCTTTTGGTCAAAAAATAAAATAAGATATTGATGAACATGAGTGGACACCGATTACTTGATTCTTTGAAACTTAAACTTCATTCTTATGAAAAATCAATGCCATTGTTAACATAAAATAATTCTCAAATCTGAGATGGGTTTGATTTTTCCAGTCTGAACAACACAATCCCAAAACCCCACCCCCCAAAAAAAAAAAAAAAGGCAACCAAATGACTATCTTCCCATCTACAATAGATAATGATAAAAGACTTTTATTACAACTTCTATAATTGACGTGACATTTTTGGGATGGGTCAACAAAAGGGACCGCTATTAATTCATCGAAGACTAGGACACACGTTAATACATTTCAATGATTAACGGGGTTTTTCCCATGCAATAAACTTTGTAATGTAAGCACTCTTTTATTAATTATTCTCTTTAGCAAGAAAGTCTTTTTTTTTTTTTTTAATACATCGTTTAAGATATCTCCCCTTGCATGAAAGATTGCTAATGAAACTGCTAAAATGATAATACTATAAGAAAACTTGAATAAATTAAAAATAAAGAAGAAAAGAAATCATATCTTTATGTTTATATGTAAGGGAAATATTTAAAAAATTTCATACATATATCACAGTATTTATATTTTGTTGTTTGAGGTTAATTTGATGCGTATTTAAATTTTTCAGGGGAAAATAAAATAGTCATTTTTCATTCCACCAGACAATTGATGAACATTGAAATTGGCCAATCAATTTTACACACGACCTATGAATTTGACACTAACTTAACTTGAAATTAATAGATTTGATTTGAACTTCAACGGGTTCGGATAATAAATGAATGAATCTGTTAGGCTCGTCAAATAAATGTAATGGCATCAACCCAATTAAACATGACTTTTATACGAATGCGATACAACACAATACAAACTCGATTATTCACAAATATAAATGGATTGAAAATGAGTTGAACAACTTTTGATAAAAACATGACTTAAACACGGCATAAACCCGACCCACCGATTGACTGGCCAAAATTGTGTTAAAGAGTGTTACTGAAATATTAGATAAAATAAGGGGTTTCTTTGAATATAGAGCAATCTACTAGGATGTAAATGGAATTTTCCAAAATATAATGAATTCTATTTTCTTGTTTTTTTTTTCGGTACAATGAATTCTATTTTCGAATACCAATATAACTAACTCTAAGTCTATGAACACTCTTTTCCTTCACCAGTATGAGCACTGATCATGTCCTCTAGGGTTTAGTTTCCTTCATGGGAGCAATGAGAAAAGAAAAACTCTCAACTGACTTGATTGCGTTCTTTGCTCTGTTGGTCATCGTCTTCACCGGTGAAATTGAGACAAGATCACTTCAGCAAATTTGTTCTTCTTCGTGTGGAGATATTCGAATCATCTCTTATCCTTTTCGATTAAAGGGCGATCCAGCTGGGTGTGGTGATTCAGATTATGAACTTTCTTGTGAGAACAACAGAACAATCATGGAATTTAACTCAGCCAAGTACTATGTAAAGCGAATTTTGTATGAAATGCGAGAAATTCGCATTGTTGATGTCAACTTTGCCAATGGAACTTGCAATCTGCCATACAAATCTCTGACAGGTGATGATTTACATAATGATATTCGTTACAGAGGATTTACGATTCATCAAACGTTTGCCAGTTTCATGAACTGTTCGACGATCATCAGTGATCCAGCTTATCCGAGACTTCCCTGTTTGGGTGGAAACACATCAAGTGTTTACGTATTGTATGATCGCATAGGAGACTCAAATCTTCCTCTGGGTTGCTACTTTATTTCAATGATTCCTATAGATTATAATTCGAGTTTGCCAAAAAACCCTTCCTATGAAGCTGTTTTGAATTTGCTGGAGTCAGGATTTAATTTGGGATGGTCAGTTGAGTGCCGAGATTGTTTGCTGTCCAATTCTTCATGTCTATCTAGTGGATTGGATCGCCCTTATAAATATGATTGCTATGAACCCGGTTAGTTGTGCTGAATTATCGTAACTGTTTGTTCTTCGGCTTCTACAATGTTTTTGTTAATCTTAATGTTTCATGTAGATAGGACCATCCCCAGATGGCTTATTATCTTCTCCAGTGTTGGGATCGCTTTAATTGGTAATTTTCCTTGGCTGAAATTTGCTGTTCTGGCATGTAATTTCTTAGTTCAATTGGTTTAATGTTCTGATCAGTTTCATTATTGCAGTCCTAGGTAGGTTTATTGCTCCTGTGATAATCATACTTGTCTTCCTAACCCTCAAATATCGAAAAGAACGAAAGCCAGTTGATAATGTGGAGATGTTTTTACGCAATCATCAGTCCTTAATGCCCAAAAGGTACTCTTATGCTGATCTAATTGCAATGACAAGCCACTTTAGAGACAAACTGGGGCAAGGTGGCTTTGGGTCAGTATACAAGGGGCAACTCCCGGGTGGGTTCTTAATTGCTGTTAAAATGCTTGAGAACACCAAGTTCAGTGTAGATGAATTCATCAATGAAGTCTCAACAATAGGTAGAACTCACCATGTGAATGTGGTACAGTTACTGGGATTTTGTTCTGAGGGGTCTAAGCGAGCTCTTGTTTATGAATACATGTCTAACGGATCACTTGACAAACATATTTTCTCCAAGGTGGGAAAGGCTCAGTCATTTAGTTGGGAAAAACTCTTTGAAATTGCCTTAGGAACAGCCCGAGGCATTGAATATCTGCATAGCGGATGTGATGTATGTATTCTTCATTTCGACATCAAACCTGGAAATATCCTTTTAGACCCTTATTTTGTCCCAAAAGTTGCAGATTTTGGCCTTGCAAAATTTTACCCGAAGGAGAATAGTTTTGTGTCAATTAGCAGTGCTAGAGGAACTATTGGGTACATAGCTCCTGAATTGGTTTCAAGGAACTTTGGTTCAGTTTCCAGTAAATCAGATGTATACAGTTTTGGTATGTTGTTGTTGGAAATAGCCGGAGGAAGGAAGAATGTTGATGCCAAGGCAGAAAATTCAAGCAAAGTTTATTTCCCATCTTGGATTTATGATCGTCTAGACATAGGAGGAGATTTAGAGCTTGAGAATGTAACTGACATTGAAATTGAGATTGCCAGAAAGCTATGCGTAGTTGGGCTATGGTGCATCCAAGTGAGGGCTTCTGATCGCCCTTCGATGACTAAAGTGGTGGAAATGTTAGAAGGGAACATCGATGATTTACAAATGCCTCGTAAGCCCTTCTCATCATCCCCACGGCATTTGTCTTTGAAAGAGCAGTCATACTCTTTAACAGAGATAGAGTATGCAGATTCTTCATTTGAGTTGATGTCTAATAACACAGAGGAATGCTTGTATGGTGCTAGCAATGTTTATTCTCACCAATCTGATGTGTAATTGATAGTGAGATATTTTTTTTTTCCTCCTATAAAGATTTTTATTTCTTCTATTGTTATTACATGGGGAAGGGTCTGTCTCCCCAAGAGAAATTAGGCTCTCCAATGTTGTAGAATTCATTCAAAAGATCTGCTTTTGTATGTGTCTTTGTGAAATTCAAATAGGATTATCTGTAGTTTGGATGCTTAAGGTCACATTCAATAGTAATCAAACCCAGACTTTGTAAGTTTCAAGTAAGGGAACATATTTAGATAATAAAAATTGGGAAAGTCTACGGCACCCATTTTTTTTTTTCCAGTACCGTACTGAAAGTTCCGGCTCATAAAAGAAAAATTACAACTGCTCAAGAAAAGATTATGATTAATCACAAATTCCCATGATTGATCATGGACTTTCCATGGACAGTTGTAACTTATGATCGATTATGGACTTTCCATAAGTAGTTATAACTTTTTTTTTATGAGTTGTAATATGACTTTTAAAAGTAATAACTTAACCTTGTAAGTTATAATATTCGATATTTATCTTAACCTTCTATGATTGATTATGCTCTTTATAAGTTATAACTTACACATTAAAAAAGTTGTAACTTAACGTTAAAAAAGTTGTAATTCATGATTGATCATGAACTTTCTTTAAATAATTGTAACTTTTTTCTTGTAAGTTATAATTTAATCTTAAAAATTATAACTTTCGGTATCGATCCCAACCTTTTATGATCGATCATACCTTTAGAAATTATAACTTTTACCTTTAAAAAAATTGTAACTCCACCTTAAAAAGTTGTTATTTTTGGTACCGTACAATGACGGTACCATTGCCTTTTCCAAAAAAAATAGTATTAAATCTTAAAAAACATAAATTATAAGTGTAATTAAGTTAAAATTTCTGCCTCAAATGTACTTGGGATCCATTATGCAAATGTCAAAACCCAAAGTTCACCAATTCATTATTGCATTCAGATGCTTCAACAAGCTTTAGCATTAGATCTGAAACAGGTGTGCAAGATTAGAAACAAAGTAAATTACGAAAATAGCTCCAAAACTACACCACTAGTTTCAATACAACCATCAAACTTAAATTTGTCTAAAATTGAGTTCTCAAACTTTTCAATTTTGTTCTTTTCAAAAAAAAAAAAAAAACTTTTCAATTTTGTTCAATGGTACACCTTCGTCCAAAGCGATAGCTTTTTTTTTTTTTTTTTTTCTAGTTCAACGGTTAAAAGTGTATAGACCAATTTGTGCGCATCTCGACTAATTCCGTCCCTGATCCCAAAGCGATAGTAACTGTTATATGTGACACTCGTTAATTAATCAAGAGAGATATTTCAAAGAGAGAATAAAATATCTCAAATATTCAAAACACAGATGTGCATGTTGGAGGAAAATACCTTAAACCTAAAAATCAAGTTTATTATTTGGGTAAATTTAAGTGACACCCATTGAAAAATGGCCTAATTATAGGGACAACGATTGTGGTTTTTAAAATGTTACAATCATTCCCTTTTATGTCCATTTCACGTACTACCCTGGAGGCATGGACACTATCGACACATAAAAAAAGTGATGATGTCGATCAATATTCTTTTATAAATGACAAACTTTTTTTTTTTTCGGTATCGGGCGGGAACAAAGAAGAACGTCTAACAACCACACTAATAGACTTTTATTGGTGGGATCATAAGACATCTAATTATGCCTAAAATATCTCTTAGAATCAAATTTAACTAGGTTAGCATAACGACCAACCACCAAACTTTAATAAAAACTTTAACACGCAAATTCTCAATCTCAAAATGAAGAGTAAGGCAACCCATCCTACTTGGTGGTCAACTGGTCATCATAAATGACAAACTTACCTTTCACCTTTAGGTCCTACAATTTCATCTATTTATATTTCACACACAAATTATCTGAGACGCACACATGGTCATGCACGTACATGTTCCCACAAGGGGCTTTGTCTTTTTTTAATAAAGAAAGAGAAAAATCTACTAAAAACATTGACTTGTTCGTGAGAAGGCAATGTACGTAGATATTCTTTGAAATAACCAAACACTTGTTCTAGGAAAATTCCACAAACCTATCAGTCAAGATTATTATTTAGAATACTTCAACCATTCAAATAAGAAATTGTAAAAGAAAGAGAAAAAATCCACTAAAAACATTGATTTCTGAGGTGAGAAGATAATGTCACATATTTGGTTCCGGTGTCATAGTCTTGTACATTTTTCCAAGTCCCCCCCCCCCCCCCCTTCTCTCTCTCTCTCTCTATGCCAATGTCTCTGATTCATCTTCTCTGCATATTTCTCTTCCTTCTCTCCTCCTATACACAAACAAGAACTTTAGCTGATACTAATGCTAAGAGCTTCTTCAAACAATGTCCACCAAAGAAATGCAGCGAAACAGGTCCCACAATCAGATTTCCCTTTAGGCTCAACACTGAACCACCCTCTTGTGGCCTTGAAGGATACGAACTCTCATGCTCCTTCGAAAACAATGCCACCACCCTCATCAACCTCCCTTTCTCAGGAAACTACTCCGTCAGAGGAATTGATTATCTCACGGGGATTATTTTTCTCAAGGAAGTTCACGACACAAATTGCCCATTACAAAGCCTTCTGTCCTTCAATTACTCCGATTCGATCTTGGATTACCCAGCACCGGGCTCAACTTACGACGTTGTAATCGTGAAGTGCGGTGAAATTGTTGAAGTAGATGGAGTTTTTGGACCGATTGATTGTTTACGCGACGATGATAATCTGATTTATGTAACAAATGCTTTCACGCAGCTGCCTGGGAATTGCGGTAGATTTAAGTCGGCGGAGCTGGGAGAAGTTGGGTATAATGCTGTGGTTGGAGCAATTGAAAGGCACTTGAGAACTGGAGAGATCTCGCGGGGGTGGAGTCGTCTTAATTGTTCATATGATTGTGAAGCATCAGGGAATTACTGTTTTCTCAATACGACAAGTAACGAAACCATCTGTTATAATCCGAGGCCCAAAAGTAAGTAATTACATTCAAATTCTCTATTACGAATTTTACCCATATATGTATCACTACTTAAGAAGCATGCATAGACGGCATAGTTAGCCCGTGTCGAACGAATCGGCCTACGACTCACAATTAGAGGTGACAATTGTATTGTGTCATGTATTTGTGTTCGTGCTGTGTTATTTTGAATTCGTGTCGAACACTAGTCATCCTTAATCTAACCCGTTTAATTAATTGTGTTAACCTATATATTTTAGTGTCGTGCTCATATTAACCCATATAGCTCGCGAATAAAAAATTTACTACTCAATTTTATATCTAAAATTTCATTATCATTTAATCAAACTTATGCTCATGTTTTTTTTATAGATTAAAAATTAACTTAATAAATATAATAATAAAAATGAATAAAATTATGCATTTTTGTATAAAAATTAGGTCACTACTTGATAAAATATAATATAAAAATTAGCATTTTATTTTTATAATAGTATTTAAACGAGTTAATCATGTCAATTTCATGTAATTCGTATCTGACACTAATGCTCCGTTTAGTAGGGAGGATAGAAATTATGAGGGATATACTTTCTATCCTTCAAGGATGGAAAGTAGGAAGGATACACTTTCCTTTATTTGTGTTTGGTTGGTTGAATGAAAAATAAAATTGCTTTTTTTTTTTTGTGTTGGTTTGGATTAAAAGTGACAATCAAGTCGTGCCGTATTAGATTCGTAATGAGTCATTACGAGTTTGTGTTGAATATTAATCAAACCTAACTTAACTCATTTAACTAATTGTGTCGTGCCAAGTTGTGAGTTAATTTTTTTATTTTTGTATCAAGTTCCAGTCGTGTCATTGTGTTGAGTCGAAAATTTTCACTCTTAGTTAATATGAAAAAATATTTTTTTTTAATTTAAAATTTATTATTTTTAAATATATATATATATACATATTTTATCATTTTATTTTTATATGAAATTAATGTATACATAATATATGTATATATAAAAAGATATATAGACAAATAAAATACATCTCAACACAAATA